AATTATTAGGAATAGTTAAAAAACATGCATTAATGCACCCACTTATTTCAATAGAACAAAATCTTTTTCTTACCAAGGAAAAAATTAGATCTCAATGTATCTTTGAAATTTACCAATTCTGTTTTCAAAGAAATCTTCATAATTTATGGGGATATTTGTGGGTAAATTGGTATAACTTAAAGGATTGAAATCTATTTGCACAGGCAGCTTATCCAAAAGTGATACCAATTGCTAAAACAACTATGATTACAGAATCGCATTGGTGTGTCCTTAAATATAACTATAAATATAATTGTAATCAGCCACGTCTAGATCGTCTTACACAAATACTTACTAAGGAACTAGTTCCAGATATAGAAAATACTTGGCGAAGATTTCGTTATAATCGAGACTTCCCATCATAGTGGGATGCATTTAAAAATGAGTGGAAATCTAATATGGAAAAAAACATAAGTACAACTGATAATTATCATACTGATATAGATAATTGGACTTGCTCTTGCTCCGCCTTTCTCTTCAGTACCTACTATATATGCAAACATTTGGTGCAAAAATATTTCATAGAAAACTTAGCCTTTTTTCCAAAGTTTTGTTTTACGATGCATCGCCACGATTACCTATTTATTGTCTTTGAAAAAGTAAATATCCCAAGAATTAATTTAAATAATAACCCATGGAATAATGCTTTACAGGATAATATTTCACAAGATAATATTTCACAGGACAATATTTCACAGGACAATGTTTTAGAATCCAGCATTGAACCAGGAGCATCAAGTAGTCATAGTGCAATCACTGAATGCCATGCAGTTATTGAGAGTAGAAAAGCCAAATTAGCCTCAGATTCAAAAATATTTGAAATATTAATAAAAATTATTAATGATAATATCGAAAACGACAAGCTTTACGAAGCATACAAGACTTTTAAGCAGCCTCTTGTTGGTGAAACCAATACATGCAATGAAGTGCTTAATTCAAAAAAATAGCAAAAAACCTGGAAATCACGAAGGAATGAAAATTTGCTTTTTGGCTATGATAAACAAGTTGTAATAAGAACTTTTAATATGCCTACTGTATATAACGGGACTGCTAAAGAATATAAACCTTCATTATATAGCAAAATTTAGTAGCTTTTAGTCAAATTTTTTTTATGAAATTATCAATATCCTCATTTCTCTTGCCATCCTTAAATTTTGATCCTGTTATATATATATCTTTAGTCTAAATTAATATAATAAAATAAATTATTTATATTGTTTTAACAAAAATATCACCAAT